TGGGTGCTTTAAGAAAGTAACGTTTAAACATATGGCACCTTAATTTTTTAAGGAAACAACAGTTACCTGCAATTTCATCAGCCGAAGAACAGGCAAGGAAGCACAGAAAGAAGTGGTCTGAGCTGTTAAATCCGTGTGGTTTTTCACTCTAATGGCAGTTTTAGTTAAGTATCGTGCTGTATTGCCTTCTATTGAGGACTTGTATGTAGGGGGACTTAAACTTTAACTTGTCAAAACACAATGTAAACATTGTTGTGTCAAACCACAGTGTCTGTCCAACACTAAGCTACTCTAAAAGATCTAAAATGTATTTTAAATTTAAATATACTTAGTGTTTAACATCTGGAAGAGGTTGTGTAAGGTGCTTTAAAAATTCCAGTGAGAAATTTGGGTTGGGTTTAAGTTCTTTCCACAAATTAAAATGTGATAATCTACTTAAAACCTAAAAAAGATTAGGAAAAACAGAAAAAAAATAAAAATGCTTAAGAAAACGTGCTAACTATAGCCTTCAGTTGATGAGTCAATGCCTATAGAAAGGTAGGAGTGATGGGAGAGAGGATGAGAACGCAAGAGCGACTGAGACTGACAGGAAGCTAAGAAGAAAGACAGGGGTGGTGAAAAGGAGACAATAGAGAGACCGAGGCAGAAAACTGAAGGACAGAGACATGACAGGGAAATAAAGAAACAGAAAAGGATAGTACAGCAACAAGTGAGAAAAAGAGAGAGACAGAGCAAGAATCATTAGCTACGGCTCTATTTGAAAAGCCACTTTGAGACGTACTTACAACTAACAAAGCCAGGAGAATGTGAATAGGCCAAATTAGTCTGTGTGGGCAACGGCAGCGGGTGTGTGTGTGTTGGTTCGGCAAGAACAGTATCCGAATCTGTTATACTGCATACTCCCAGACTGAATTGCTATTCTGGACAAGAAGTGAGCAAACAGAGAGGTACATTCTAGCAAACAAACTCTACGTAATCAGCGACACTGAACACATACATTGATGAAACTGTTTTGTTTAGTGCATGTATCACAGTTGTTTTACTTTCTACTTTACATTCAGGGTTTCATTTTATTTTCCATTTTCAGCTATTGGCAATATCTATTTTGTTTCTTATCTTTTTGGAGTAGTTTTTGTTTTTGAAACTATTTCAGATTAGTTTTATCTAAGTCTATAAAAAATATAATATCTGAGCATTTTGATTTTGTTTGAAGGTGGGTATTAATCATGTAGACATTCCAGATTCAATAGGCAGTATCACATCTTTTCATCTCTGAGTGATGATTGCTCTGCCCACTACAGCATGATGTTATAGTCCGTTGACTGGAGCTCTTTCTATCTTTAATGACAATGCTAGGTAGATTTGGGCAGTTCAGATTCTCGCACAGATTTGATTTCACCAGACAGGGTAGCTGCTGGCCATTTGGCTCATCATTTCAGCTGTGAAAATCCACGGCCAGCTACGAATAAGAAGCCTCCTTTTGTTTACTTCTCTGTGGAATCAAAGACCTAGTGTTTCATAACTTACTGCATATTTGGATGTTAAATCTGCTACTGTTATCACTGTAAACTGCGTATGTGCAGTGTGAGAATAGAAAGCTTGACAGATGTAGCAAGAATAACTGAGGTGTACAGGGATTAGCGAAGGTTCCATTTCTGTTTTGTTTAAATTTTGCATTCCATTACTCATAAGAGCCTTGGTATGTGTGTGTTTCTGCAAGTTTTCTATGTGCATGAATGTGTGTGTTTGGCTTGCAATAAAGTCGCAGACAAATAAAAGCTGGACAGCATGGTGCTGCTCCGGGGTTTGTTTCCTTATTATTTGTCCCACTTGCTCTGCAATGCACCAGCCTCTGCTTGTTTGTGTGTCTGTGTGTGGTGTTTCTGGGGTAATTCAAATACGTGAGTGGAAATAGGTAAGAATGTGTTGTGTATGAAGATATACTGTTTGTAACAATGGGAAGATGGCAAGTCATTATAAATATTCAAATATGTTTTTTCATTGCATATATTTTTCTGTAAAATATTCCAACTATAAATGCAAAAACCTCTGGATTTATTCAACACAAACACTGTATGGAGGCCACCCTAATTACAAATGATGTTTTTTTAGTAGTTTACTTAGTCGTAACCTTACACAATGCGCTACATCAATGAATATAAACTATGTTACATGAAGAAGAGAATATCCAGTTACTTCCTGATTATCTCCTTGTATCCCCCTCTTCCTTTCCTGCCACCCTTGTCTGTTCAGCTTCACTTTATAAGTTAAGTTGCCTTGGTAGAGATCCAACAGGATAACAATCACTGCCGTAACAACTTGAAATCATCCCCCTCCCTCCAACTCTGTCTTGTTCCCTCATTCAGCTGCTCCAAAGGTGAATTTGTATGGATCCAGAAAGAGCTGAGGGAACAGAGTCCATGCTCCAGCAACTTAAGCCTATTCTCTCCCTTTATATGCCACAAACACACACACACAGAGCTGCCTCCATCTTTGCCCCCTTTTCTTCTTCAGCGTTATCAGTGTCACGTCAACTCTAAACGGATCAATAACAAAACTACTTTTAATTGGGAAGCACAAATATACCCCGGCATTTACACATAAACACACACCAAGTAGCTGGCTTAAAAGCTTTAAATCTTGCAGGTTTCTGTCAATGTAAACAACTTAGATAAGAGTAACTACAACAACAAAGAGCCACCCAACAAACCTCATCACTCTTCTTCTGCCCCTAGACAAATACAGCACAGAGGCCTTTAAAACATCAAATGGAATATAGTGAAATAGAAAAAAATGTACCTAAGATAAGGTTTCTTAGAAGACTTTAGAAGGTATTTCATCTGAACTTTGATATCTGCCATTAGAAAGATGACGTAAAGGTGCCAATAATGTACAAGATTGTTTAATGATAGCTTAAATTTGCCAAGCCACCTAGGTTTTATTATTTGCTGTAATTTATCATGCCAAAGCTCTGTAGTGAAAAAGGAAAATGATGTAGATATTAAACCCCCTGCTATGTTTCTGCTGCAAAATTTGCTCTTTGTGGATTTTATTTCACATCTGTGTTTTATCACTATGCAAACAAATAAACTTATGACATGAACAAAACCTCAAAGCCACAACTTTTTTTAGTGTTTCCAGAAATCAAAGACAAGCCGAATAACCATATGGGAAAAGATCCAGAAGAGACCCATGTGATTTCAAAATCTTGTTCGTAGACATTAACAAAAGATTCAGAAAAATGAAAATATGTGTTTCCAGACATACTTGTAACTGATGTTCGATGAGCATGAACCAGAAACAGTCCATTTTTTTGTAAGACATGAGTGAAGAGGAAATATGGGAATAAAATACTACATATTGGTGTAATGAAGCAGCATATTTTCAGACTACTTGTGTTTAATTCCCACCATCCCTTGCGCAGACTGGCAAATATATTGCCTCCTTCTCTTCACTTCAATTTTTTTTCCCATATTTAGGCAAACTTGATTTGTTTTATTTAAATGATCTGCAAATGTGACACATTCATGCCTCTAACTCATATATTCTTCAGTCATTCTCAGATACTGGAGGGGAGTTGTGTGGGGACAGTACTATTATTTATTCATACCTTAGTTATTTTAAGACTTTCATGTCTTTGATCAGTAAATTATACATATATTGAGATGTGGAATTTGTGGATATGTGACGCAGACGGACACTAAAAATGACAAGCAGCTACACAGGCATTACAAAAATCAGGTCTTTATTGTAGGCGATGCTTTTATCTCAAACTTTCTGTAGAGCCATCTGAATGTGTCATGGGCATATGAAACATTTGCAATGACAGATTCAAACGCCTCTTTGATAACTTCAACATCAAACCACTATTCCCATATCATTTTATCTCTATCTAATCTAGTTTTTTATGTTCTCTTGAAATACTGCCAGGGACAGTTGCGGTACATTTCGTGTAAGGCAACTTTCAGTAAGTGAGAAAGGTTCAGTGATTCATTGGGGTATAAAGTTTGTGACCTTGTGGTTATGGGATGATTTCTGCCCTCTAGGCCAGCAATAACAGAGAAACACACGCGAGCACAAACCTGCTGTTGCAGTATGAAAGAGCAATCAGTGGCTGCCCATGAATTGGTTTCTGACACTACAAGCGCTGACAGACAGAGATAGCAGAGGAAACACTGACACGTATATTGCACACATTCCCGCATAGACACATTTGTGCAATTTCAATCGTACCTAGAATCAGACAAACATTCCTGTAATCCTCACAATAAGACAGCCTTCCTCTATCTCTTGCTTTCTTACTATCTAACCCATATGTATTCCACACAATACTTGACAGGGGAACACAGGAAATGAAAAGCAGGTACAGGCACATGGGGGGGGGGTATTAATAAGAGAATATTCAAATGAGGTGTCTGATATTATTTAGAAGGAAATGAGTAAATGTTTTTCACCCACTTAAATTTGTTAGCGGTGGAGGAAGTCATGGAGAGAGAGGGGAAATGAAAGATTGAGCTCTACAGGTTCAAAGTGATACAAGACCAAATAACCATCAAAAAAAGCAAAATATAAGCAGATAATGTGTTTGGGGAAAGCAGTGAGCTTAAGTTAATTATGAAGGTGAAACGCAACATGACATGTTTTGTTATCAGGATAAGACAAATTAGACGAGGAGATGGGCTTAGCATTGTTAAAGTATGAACTAAATTAGTCAACACTGCAGGATTACTGTACAATGTCTAAGCATTTGAAGGTTCTAATTTGTCATTTTTAAACTGTTGTTCTGAAGAAATAAGCTGACATTTTACAGCCTAATTGTTCACTACTGTATTGTCCATTAGTGTGGAAGGACTGATGTCTGGTGTAAGATACTGGGAAGAAGATTTTCCTTCAGGATATGTTAACTGTGTGTGTGTATGCATACACATGTGTCCACAGTACCTTTCATGATTGAAATGAGTTGTTGGAATCTATCCACCAAAAACCAGTGTATGACTCACCATTGAAGTTGACAGCACGAATGTGGCTGAGCAGCTCTTTGCCGTCGATGTTGGCCATGCGCGGGCAGAGGCCAGGGTATCCATAGCAGAGCTCCCGGTGCATGCGGTGCAGGGCATGGGCCATGGCGTACACCGCATCCATCACAAACTGAACCTTGCCCTCTTGTTCGTAACTGGAATCACGACCAACTTTTTCTAAACCTGAGAAAAGAAGACAAGTGGTTAGAGGGGAATGGGGAAAGGCCAATTTGAAGTCGCAATCAGGGTAGGGAATTCCACCCAGGACAGCCAACACAGTCCAGCTACAATATGTTCTAGTGCTGTGTATATAATAAAAAGGTCTAGAATGTAAGCAATGAAGCAATGGAAGAAAAAAAAAAAGTGTATAATAGAGAGAAAAGGAGACACATACGACAGATAGAGACCTAAGTAAAAGAATGTAGGTGGTTGAGGAATAGGTGAAAGAAGAGATGAAAGGGAGCCAACAGGTAAAATAAAAAAAGGAAAAAGAAAAACTGGGGTGAAGCAAAGAGAAAACCTTAAAGGGAGTGAAGAGAGAGAAAAAGAGAGATAAAAGAGAGAAAAAGAACTTGTGCAAGACACGTTGACCATCAGACAGGTAGCAGGGCACTCAGCCTTACAATGACAAATAACTCCTCTCAGTCCATTCTCGCCCTGGTAGCAGAGTTACAGAAGAAAGAACAACATGTTCCTTCTTTACATCTTCTGAACCTCTGATAATGGCATTTTCTTGTACGAGGGAAAGGCAAGAAAATGTTCAGAGAAGACAAAATATACTCCGTCCTCTTTCTGAACCACCTCACGTGGCTATGTGTTGAGGATTATTTTATGCCACAGTAACACTCTAACATTAAGACAGTCTCTAGTGTGTCTGTCTTGTGTTTAGTCCCTTATCTAAAGCTATGTGGCTTTTCCTATTACTGCAGCCTAATTTATTTCTGCAAATTAACGTTTAAGTTAACCATTCGTCGATGAAACAAATGTATATTTACACGTGGCCTTGGAGCTTGTGTGCGTGCGCAGTTCACATATAAACATACGCACATAGACCCCAACCCTTTGTCTGACACATACATGCACACACACAGACGCAAATACCCTCCTAGTTGTAACTCAGTGAGAGGGGTTTATGTAACGACTCATTAGCATAATGAGCTAATGAAAAAAAGAACAGAGTGAAAATAAAACCTCTTTGATGCATTAAGATGGAAATTAGTAATTGATGATGAGATTCATCATCAGATGTTTATCAAAAAGGTTACAGTTACTATAGGAAATTCATTATATATTTTTCCTCCCTATACATCTTTAACTGTTTCCTTCCTCTGATATATGTTTTTGTTGTTGTTGTTGCTTGTTTATCTATCCTTCTGTCTCCATCTTGTTCACCCTTTTCATCTCTTTCTCCTCTCCACTGCCTCTGTCTGTCATTTTCTCACATTCCCTTTCTCCCTCCCCTCTCTTCTGTCTCGCTCCCCTCCCTGCTGCCTTTTCCCCTTGTCTTTATTCACCCATTTCTTACAAGTAGCAGTCACCTTCAGGCAACACAAACTGAATCAAAACCCTGTCTGGGCTGAGTTGAGTTAACAAGACCAGAGGCCCCTCAATCAATATGAGAATCCATAAGGAATTAATGGGGTCCTGAGAATGAAATCCAATCCACAGTTATAGAAAGCTGTCGGGGTGTTTTGTATGCATGTCTGTATTGTATTTCTAGCATGTTTGTTGTTGGTGGTAGCGGTTTGTGTGTATGTGCATGTGTGTGTGAGGCTCAGTAGGCAGTTAGTCAGCATTGTGTGTCTGTGCCATGTGGTCCAACCAGGCAGCTGATCACTATGCTGGCCTAAAAATGGAACTCAATCCCCCAGATAACAGGACAGTACCTAGAAGTGAGATGTGTGTGTGTGAGGAGAGAGAAAAGACAGACATAAAATGTGTGTGTATGTGCGTCAGAGAAAGATCAAGCTTGCTGAGGTACAACTCTCTCTCTCAATGGTGAACTTTTATTCAGCCTCACAAGCTCACTTTACTGTCTTCCGTCAGATGCAACATCCTGTATGACGGGATCTCTGTCTCTGTAAAAGGGGTTACCACAGCACTTATTCAGCTGCAGCACCCCGTTTCTCATTCATGTTTGCATGCTCTTCCTCATGTTGGTGCCCAGTAAAAAACACATTCTTCTGGGCCAACTCTTTCCAGCCCATGGAAAGATTAAAATCTTCTTTTTGTTAAAATGCCCATTAATGGCTGTAGCTTCTGTAGCTGCTTGTATTGAGCTAATACAGTATTGATTTCATGAGCACATTGAGAATGGCGATCGAGCAGGTCGGGGTTTGGACAAAATGCATATGGGATGGGAGACTGAGGGTCAAAAACCTATTGAGTTGTTTCCTAGCGCCAGGCAACTTGTTGCTCGTCAGAGTTGGTGTATCACTGCCTTTAATTTGACATTTCATTAGAAAGACCAGCTGCACAAATGACAGTAGTCTTTATTTATCCAGCGAAAGCATGCGCCTTTTTGCCAACAACCTGCTCGGTATTCATAATTACACACATTCACACCTCAATAGTCGCTGAGAGGAGGGAGAGCTTTTCTCATTAGCTTCTAAAATTCTGGTCACTAGCCCAGTTTTATAACCTCAGCCAAATTGTTGCTATATTTTGCTATATTGAACTGTCTTTATTTTGTCAACAACAGTCAAAAGCAAATTGTATAGTGTAAAATAATCTTTTTTTCTTCTGAAATGTAAGGCATTGCTATTTTTTTCTCTCTAAAAACAAACAATACTTCCGCCAGAGGCCTCAAAGTTTTTTAGAGGTTTAAAAGTCTTGTCGTGCCCTGAGGTTACTCTGGTAACAGCCTCAGTAATGTGATTGATGCTACTTAGCCCACACAAAAACCCTCTGTGCAGCAGGGTGAGGTGAATACTATACTGGACCAACCGCTGTGTCTGGTGGAAACAAAAACCAATAGAGAAGTGCAACAAGGTGAAGCTAATGCAACTAACTGACTGGCTAACTGCCTTGATGGATCCAATTGGGAGTCAATTTACTGCTCTTGTCACAAATCTCCGAGGAACCTCCGCCTGATACAATGAATGTAGATTTAACATTAAACAAAGAGTTTATGGGAGTCGACACTCGGATGTGTTCCAGTACTTTAATCTATACAGAGCACCAATTAAAAGAGTACAGATCTACCATCTAAGCTATAGGCAGAAATAATTGAATTGTGCTCTGCGTGGATTAAAGTATTTAAACATATTTGTCTGCCATTTATCCCTCTCTGAGAGAAATTCCTTTAATTTCCTTACATTTCCCTTTCGCTGCAAGCAAGATGTTGGGGGAAATGAAGCAATGAAGACTTTTGCGTGACATTCGATCTCTCTAGAAGCTTGAGCTCCTATGGTCTTTGCAGCAGAAAGGAACAACCTGGAAACCATTCCCACAAACTAAAAGAGTACAATCTTTGGCAATAAGCCACTTGACACACACTGGCTGCACTGGAGGGATGTCACAGGAGCAGTTCTAGGGCAATCTTCTCACCTTGTTGCTGTGATGTACATATGTACTGCTGGACTCAGTGACATCACTGTTGTGTGTGGTTACAGGTGCAGTATAACACACAGGTGAAACAGGCTGGAAACTTTTAATCAGAGGGCAATGAAACTTTGCTTTTGAGCCTGGTGATAGGATACTCTTAAATATAGTACATTTGTATGGATGGTAAACCTTAGAATTTCATTATATAGTTAAACAGGTTTCTCTTTGCATATAGTCTGACAATAAGGGATTTGACTTTTGAGTGGTTATTTTCGCACTGAAAATGGAAAAGATTTGTGTTTGGCTTTGGATGTGCCTGGTGTGACAATTGAAAGTAAAATCTATAACGATGCATTCTATAAACATCTTTTGCACGATAACCGTTGTTTTGCCCGAAGTCTGGTTACCTTTGGGTCTCTTTAACTTTTAATATGAAGGCTCACACAGGAAAGCCAATTGACTTTAATGTGCTTATGGACATATGGCTTATCGTCAAAACATGCTCTTGGACACAAACACACCTTATTTTCATCATCTGCTGCATTACTCCCAGTGCATCAGAGCACTGTGCAATCTTTACAACTACTTAAATGTTAATACAGCACACTTCATGCCACGGGATTGGTAATTTGTGCCACACAAACCAGAAATACAATATATATTTGTGTTTGAGAACAAACCATTCTGAATCATTTATATACAGTCTCAGGAATAGACAAAACAGCCTTTATTTCTTCATTTAAAAGTGGTGTATTTAATCTTTATTTGGCCAAAATATGAGTATTTGGAGCATACTGAGGTTATGAATGGACAGGAGAGAAGTTTATTATGCTGAAAGAGGTTTCCCACATTTTTATTACATTTTGATACTTTTATTTGACTGTGAAAACCAGTTGAGCACAGTATCATCCACTCAGAATTGCCAGTATATCCACTCATTCCATTCAGATATGCAAGGGCTGTCGTGGACCAGCCTATAGTTCTAGCCGGCTGTATCCAAACATATTACATTTTGATTTTCATCATCAGTAACACCATTTCTCTATATTATCTATCGTAATATCTGGTGTAACTGCTGCTTTTCTGGTGATATTTTGAAATGTAGCTATTGATTTAACGTTTCAACATCTTGTCACAGAAGGAGAGGATTCAATTAACAATGTTTTGTTAATGCTGTGCTAATGAAGGTTACAAGCTGCAGTAGTTTCAATGGACAACTTGAAAAGACACACTAGAAATTAGATGGCCAATTAAGGGAACCTCAAAGTTACACTGAAGTACTAAAAATTATCTTTTTGCAAAGAGAGAACTGAAAAGGGCACAGCTGCTTTCCAAATGGATTCAGAGTAAGGGTGTCAGTAGAAGAATATTGATAGAAGAGTTTGTCTTGACCTTTTAAAACTGACCCACAAATATCAGATTGCTGATTGCAGTCATTATTTGTAACCAGATTTGTGACCTCATTACATCAAGCCAATGCATAGCGCTCATCTTTCTGAACAAGCCACCAACTTCTCATGATGTAACGGTATGCACGCACATTTGTTTGCACTCAGCATTTGTGCACACTTCCATTCAGAGAGTAGGTACAAAAGTACAACTAAAGTGTTGTACTCTGAGCCATAGATCAACGTATC